TCCGAAGATTCTCTGCAACCTCATGGGGGGGGGGGGTCAAGAAACTCTACATGCCTTGAGAATGCGTTAACACATGAATCGTTATTGGACACTGCTTCAGATATTACTATCATGTCCTTCTTGATTTTCAAAACCTTGCATTTGGAAGCCCACTGAGCTGGCAAGGAATTCCAACCATGTTCCTTGGAAGTGAGATCATACTCCTCCCAGAACACCGTTTTGTCCTCAATGTCTTTGATCCAATTGTCTTTGGGTCCTATGACGCTGATTCATCCCATTTACATCTCAAACCTGGAGTCCATTCCTCTTCTGACAGGAAAGACCTATCAAACTTGTTTGAGCCTTAAATGGATTTTAAACACATGGCGATATGGGCACAGGTACACAGACCTATGCCACTCCTTCCACACCAGAATCCTGAATGTCACAAGGGTGTGATAACCACACTAAAGGTCGAGATCACCAACCAATCAGATTCAGCAATCCAGGGTGAGGACTCACCTGAATCCACTGAGACTATTGAGCCCGTTTCGACCTTGCGCACCCAAAAGGAAAACTACCTCCGTAGTTTGGACCCATCAACCCCTGAACAGTGTTATCATGCAGAGAATGGGGTGACTATCCACGAAACTCAGGTGAGTGATGTCATGTTGTCACTTGGGACAGATGCAGAACAGGTTGCTATCAAATCAGCATCCTATCTTGCAAGCTCCCATTAAAAACGTTCCGGTGGTAACTCTGGAACGAGCCGCTACCCAAGATTTAGATCCTCCACAACAAACAGCTGACGCTGTTTCAGTGGAGCCCTGTCTGTCAGACAAGAATCTGATAGACCTACAGTCCATGGATCCAGCCATTAGTAGAATTATTGACTACCTGTCCAACCCTAATCGCGTTGCCCCATCAGACGATGAGCTTAAGTACATACCAGGACTTAATGCGCTTTTCAAGGAACGTTCTTTCTTGAAGATGAGCAACGGTATCTTGGTGCATGTTTCCGATGCATCCCCTTTACCCACTTTCGTCGTGCCTCATACCCACAGGTGGGTGATGTTTGTACAAGCCCATAATCATCCGTATGCAGGACACCAAGGTGAGGAAACAGCACTCAATGCATTACGACAAGTTGCATGTTGGCCAGAAATGAGGAAAGATGTACAGAATTACGTCCGAGGATGCCTGGTTTGCTACCCACTTCAACCAGTAAACACAACACAACAAGCTCCCACCAGGTTCAATGAAACAGTTAATCAGGAAACAGAATAAAATGAGACTAGATGAAGTAAACAAACAGCTAGCTTAAATCAGCTAAAGGGTTATAATCAGACTTCAATAAACCCTAAACAGGAAACCAAGTAGACCGATTTAGTAAAAGAAACCAAAATAACTGTCATAACCTTCACAGAAAATGAGCTGGCTACTCTGCATGACAATAGCATGACTTTATGACTGAATGAAATAACCAATCAACTCGGCTCACTAACGGCTATTTCGTGTCTCTCACTAACTCAAGGCGTGAAAATCTCTATGTGAAATTGACTGGCTCCATTCAGCTCATAAATTTTACTTTTCTCTCTTCTCTTCTTCACTTGCTATGGTTCAAGACATTTTGAGCACAGTAATCCTGGTCTTTATTTGGCACCTAACCTACGTAGGTGTACACGTACGCGTGACATGCACCACTTCTGCCATAGGAAAACATTTTTTAAGACAATACCGCTGACAGTCTTCTAGTTGGTGCGATAGTACTGGGCTACATCCTAGTCTTTGTCATTACTTGCCTTTACTTGAAAAAGACCAAAGGTCTACAGGGACAGCTTGGCAAATGTACCAAACACATCACTCAATTGGGGAAACATAAAACCTTAGCCAGCTTCGCCCAATCCCACCATTAGTTACCTTTGATGAGGAAACAGAATGAAATGATAATGATACAGACGAGACCAGCGCTCTGGTAGTGTTGTAATTGACTTACAGTATTGATCACCTGGTTAGTGCATGATTAGCCACACACTAGAAAATAGGAATTTTAGTAGTAGAGAAACCAGCACATCTAGCTTGATCTATTAAGAGATTTAAGTTACCCACATTTATTCCCAAAACTAACTTCACACATATAGAAGAAGCTCGTTAGTTATCCTTTTGTTTTTGTTTTTTTCTTTTCTTGGTATTAGATTAGAGGGACACAAAAGCAGCCAAGGAAATGTATTCACTGTACCTAGACAACATGCTACACTCAAGCAAAGGACAACTCCGGCTGATTCAGGCCACTGGCCACCCTTTTGGTGATGAAAAGTAGGTCTGTGAACTTTTCCATCTGGCTGATTTTTCTGGTATAAGCTGATTTGTGAATTCTGATTATTCCATTTATTTTATGCCGTTTTTTATTTCTATCTAAATTCACATTTAGCTCTCAAGATTTATCCTCTTCTCTCTGCTACCACACACACACCAACTCTCGTTTGCATCCACTCACCCACATGAACGTACACCCACTCCTGCATTCCTACACCCATGTGAACACACACACACAAATACACATGCATGCACGCACTCACACACACAAGCACACACACACACAAGCACACACACACACAAGCACACTCACACACAAACACACAAGCACACACACACACAAGCACACACACACACACACACAAACAAGCACACACACACACAAGCACACTCACACACACACACAAACAAGCACACACACACAAATACACATGCATGCACACACTCACACACACAAGCACACACAAGCACACTCACACACAAACACACAAGCACACACACACACAAGCACACACACACACACACACAAACAAGCACACACACACAAATACACACGCATGCACGCACTCACACACACACACACACACACACACACACACACACACACACACACACACACACACACACACACACAGGTGTACACGGCTACAGAGCGTTACTAGTAAAGCTGAAAAGTCTTGTAAAACTTGTTTCTAAATATTTTTAGGCCTGTTTTTTCATCTCTCTGTCTTCTATGTACATGTATAGGCTGTTCTCAGTGGCATCATTTATGCGTAAAAGTCATTTCAATATACTTTTTAAAATAAAAAAAATTGACGTTTCTTTGGAATATTTCTAGTGGGTCTAGAGGACCTCAAACTTGAGATTGTGCTGCCACCCAGAGGAAGGAGGATGAACTGAAACACTTTAACTCAGTTCCTGTTTTATTCAGATTCCTCCCAACAATTTTAAATGAATTGCTCTAGCTAGACTGCTACTGCTTTGCAACACAATGGGACATAACAGGTTTAGAAGTCTGTTGGCTCCAAAGTATTCCGTAATCCAGGTGGTTTTCTTGTTCTCAAAGCACAATCTACATCCAGTACAGGTATAGGAGGCACCGTTGTCATTTAACCATCAGGGCTGTCCCAGACAAAAGATTGAAATAAAGTATATTGTAAGAGTATCCTGAGGTTTACATGCCAGTAGCTCCAGAGGCAGAGGGGTGGACTTCAGTGATGGCTAGGCGAGGACTAGAGGGACCCAGACACCTTGGAAGATGGGGATGGAGTGGTGGTGGGGAGCAGAGAGATGGTGAGTGTCCAGGTGCTTCTAAGGGGCATGTTAGTCTGGTGATCTCAGACTTTCTTCACAAGTGTTGTTTTAATTATTTTATTTTTTACACAAAATCTCTGTTCCTCCCTGTGTGATGTGAGGTCAGATAAACAGTCAACCGTCAACCGTTTACTGTCACCAGCAGTGTGTGAATGAGTGAGTGCATGGGATAATGGAGAGTGATTTGGGTGCTTTGAAAAGTGTTATATAAATCTAATATCTTATTATTATTGTTATAATAATAATAATTATTATTATTGTTGTTGTTAACAACAACAATAATAAAACCAAGTGAGAGGGAATGTTTACATCATAAAATTGTTTTATTATTGTAAATGATCTGGGCTTCACTAAAAGCACTAACAAATAAAATGTGTTATTATTGTTTACACGTAATTTAAGCCCAACAGAGATTTTAAAAAGGTTTAATGCCCAAAGACACACTTTTAGTTATTTATATTTGTTAATATGTGTTTGTGTATTGAATGGTATCAACTGTTTAAAAACACCAACAATGAAAAATACAAATGTGATTCAATACATGTATACTGTTGGTGAATAAAGTACACACAGTTTTGTCCCTCAGACTATGGCTACCCTCATAATCTATGATTGGTGCAGCCTTAGTTGTCCCACTAGTCACACACCACATAAACACACGTCTGTCAGGTGACCAATGCAAGAAAACTACCTCATCTGTCACCTGACAAAAACATGTCGGTGGAGAGACTGGAGGCTCAGGTGATGACAAAGACATGCTAGTCATGAGGTTGGGTCAAACGTTAGCTCGTCATAGTCATTCAGCATCCATCAGTGTATTTAGTCAGGTGTGAGAAGCAAACCGCCCAGGTAGGGGATTCACAGGTGAGCCTGCAACAATGTGGAAATACGAGTTTCATGTCAGATTTTTTCTATTGCTCCCCTCTTCTGATGATCCAGGGTCAGTTTGACCTGCCCACCACTGGGTGCTGGTCCAAACACATTTTCACATTGACCCATCTGGTCTATCCCGTTTGGCCGAGGGTCTGAGTACATCGTTGATTATGTTTTTGAAGGTCAACTGACCAGACCTTCCAAAATCACGACTCCACACAGGATTTGTTCCCATGATGCTGGAATATCTTCACCCTGGTCATCAGAAGGATGGACAACACAAAGGTCTGGTGGTTGGGTTTGGGTTATTCTGTGGTGAACGCTGCAGACGAGCTGCTCTGCTGACTGACAGAATCCTGCCACATCTGATCCTTCCAGCTCACTTTTAGTGAATCTGACGTTTCCGACTCATCTGAGAGGCTCGGTGAATATTTATGAGCTGCTGTAGTCCCATAAATCATTCTGACTGAGGACACGCCCCCTGCCCTCTGATTGGCTCGTCTCGGATGCGTGCCCTCTCGGCGTTTTAAACCGCCTCTGGAGCATTTTGATGAAGCGTCGCTGTCAGAAGGTTCGGAGCGGAGGATGTTCGGCAGCTACCGTGTCTCCGTCACATCGCGGACCCGAACCTGATGTGGTTTCGACCTGATCGTGGATGCAAAGTTCCGGAGAGCTCTGAGCGTCCCGCGAGCACTTTCAGGCTGTCTGAAGTTGTGACGGAACCAGGAAACGCTTTGTCTCGGAAAGGTAACGCACCTTTCCGCTTTCCTGTTCAGGTCGTCCTCGTTCGCGCGCGCTTTCCTGTCGGGGTCATTATATTATAAATAATTATAATAATAAATGTTATTATTAGATACGAAGAGAAAAGCTGAAAGGTTCGTCGGCAGCGCTCCTACAGCTGCTGTCGTACTTCCGCCTGCGGGACCAGAAGCACCGAGCAGCTTAACTTCTCCACCGGGCTGGGTGAAGTTCACGAGTCTGAACACCAGGAATAGATCAGCGATTCTCCTCTAAACGGCTCGCTCGTGACTTTTCTCAGTGGAAGCAGCTTTCTACTCGGTCGTCTACTTTTAAAGTATTTTCTCTTTGGGCTGCAAAGTACAAAGTAATAGAAACCTGGACAGTGAAATCTAAACACAAATGCGTTGGTTAAAAAACTGCACTTAATTAAGACTGAATCAAAACAGATGTCCCTTCAAAATAAAAGCTGGGGAAGAGATCCCTTCTGTCAAAGTTGCGTTGATGATATGATTACGGATCATCTGTCATCCTGCAGCTCTGAGACCTCAGATAGGGGATCGACCCCCAGCTTTTATTTTGGTGGGCTTATTCTGTGTGATGCTAATCCAAATTAGCGTATTAGCTTAACATTTAGTTAAAACCACCACATTTATATTCAGATGTTGTCATTCTGATCTAACTTTATACATTCAGACATGATTTAAATCACCTAAATGCAGCGCTGTTATTTGAAGGTGAGTGTGGTGAAACAGGTCCTGATCCTGTGGTGGGGCGACGGTGGCACAGGAGTTAAGCGCTCGCCCCATTATCAGAAGGTTGCAGGTTCGAGCCCCGCTCAGTCTGTCACTGTCGTTGTGTCCTTGGGCAAGACACTTAACCCACGTTGCCTGCTGGTGGTGGTCGGAGGGACCGGTGGCGCCAGTGCTCGGCAGCCTTGCCTCTGTCAGCGCGCCCCATGGCAGCTGTGGCTACATCGTATCTCATCACCATCAGTGTGTGAATGGATGAATGACTGATTGTGTTTTGAAGCGTGGGATAGGCTTAGGGTTCCAGGACTCTAGAAGGCGCTATATCAAATACACGCCATTTACCACTTAGCATTTACCATTTTAGTGTAGTCAGCTATAACCAGTGCTCCAGTGCTTTTATAATGTAGGTAAAATGATGGATGCTGTGGATGGAGACACCTGTCTCACCTGGTGTGTCCCTGTCCAGGAGTCTCGGGGACGTCAGCATGGTGAACAGTCAAGCCTCAGGTGCACCAGCAGCTCCCAGATGCTGTGCAGGATGTGGGGGGAAGATCTCAGACCGCTTCCTGCTCTTCTCCATGGAGCGCTACTGGCACACGCGCTGCCTGAAGTGCTCCTGCTGCCAGGCCCAGCTGGGGGACCTCGGCTCCACCTGCTACAGCAAGGGGGGCATGATTCTGTGTCGCAGTGACTACATCAGGTGAGAGGAAGCAGGATGAGGTGGTGGAATCGGGTGGCGGCCCGGCGCTCGGCCCTTTCTGAGCTTTCGGTCCCGTTTATGTTTGCAGGCTGTTCGGGCACAGCGGGGCGTGCAGCGCCTGCGGCCAGTCGATCCCGGCTAACGAAATGGTGATGAGGGCACAGGGAAGTGTTTACCACCTGAAGGTAAATCCCAGCATGCACATCGCTCGCTTTCCTGCTGCCTTCTCGGCAGACACTTCTGGGATTTGATGGGAACAAAAACAAATGATACCCTCTTTCCTTTTGTAGTCCTGAGCTTCATGTCGGGTGTTTGAGTTTTCGATGGGATTAGACTTTATTTTACACGTGTAGAGACCTGTCCCTTCTGGTGTTTGTGTTCCAGTGTTTCAGCTGTGCCACGTGCAGAAACAGACTCATACCGGGGGACCGCTTTCATTACATCAATGGTACAATCTTCTGCGAGCGCGACAGGCCTGGCGCTGCCTTGCTCAACAGTCACCTGGCTCCCCTTCAGAGTACCTCGGTGCTGACAGACCAGAAGGTAAATAAAAGAGCTGCAGACCTTGGTGTAATCAGACTGGAACCTCATGTCCCTCTGAACTTTTCTATGTCACAAATGAGAACAATCATATTTCCTTCAACAGCATCTAGAAGTCTCCTTTTGTAAGTCATACATGAAACCAGCAGCTCTGCTTTAGCTGTTAGTTTATCAGAATCAGAAAACTTTACTGGTCCCCATGGGGCGATTAATTTGAAGCTTACCACAAGCTCAACATTGTGAAAAACACAATCACTCACTAACAATCACACAACGTGTGTCACTACCAGCATCCCGTAAGCATCACCAGTGAGCAGTAGCCCTCTAAAATGGTCACGTACTGAAAGGCCAGCGTTATTTAGCCGCCCTTCCCGACTCAGAGTTAAGCAGTTCGATAGCCGATGGAACAAAGGAGTTGGCCAGACGGTTTGTTTTCCGATAAGGTTCATAAAAACGACGTCCTGAAGGCATGGAGAGGCTGACCTAACACACCTTTAGCCTCTTTAGTGCCCTCTCCTCCCATAGAGACTGTCTCTTTGTTTTGCTCAAATCATTTTACAGCAGGTTTTGATCATGTTCAGCAGCTTAAAGACAAGGCTGTGTGCCAGCAAACACATGAGAAGGTTTGTATAAAACAGCAATAAGAGGATCCTTTCATTCACATTAAAATAATTATTTCCTTAAAAGATGGAATCTCTGCAGAGCTCGTTTAAGAATGGAGTCTGTGTTTGTGTAAAAGCCAGCTTTGCCGCGAGCCAGCGCTGCTTGGGTTTGATGAGTTATATCTCCAGAGCTAAAATTTGTACCAGAAGGAAGCAGCGGCACCAAAATAAATAAAAGGATATAGAAAAGTTGTTGTGACTGACCAACGCTGACCTTTACCCGACCTCCTGCCCCATCTACAGGTGTGCTAAGAGCCGTCTCGTCTCCTTACATTTCTCCTCCCCGGTTACTGTTGTGGAGCCTCATCACTTCCCTTTGTCTCGAGGATCCAGTTCGCCATCGGTCAGAGAATCCTGCAAAGGCGAGCTTCTGTTGTGTTCCATGCCAGAGTCGTCTGTCCGTGAAGCAAAGACTTAAGAGAGGACTACAGGGACTACAGACTCCTTCAGGACGGACGAAGCTGAACTGTGCTGATGAATCCTCTCGGAAAGAAGAGAAGGAGCTTGCAGGACAGTTTGGTGGACTGCTGGTGTAATTCCCTCTGTGTGGTCCCAAAGAGCCTCTGATCTCTCCTCTGTACATGTTGATCTTCAGATCTCATTTCTGGTTTATTAGTGTGAATGTGATGATTGAGAGAATCGGCTTAAAGCCCACAACCAGAACCAGAACCCGTCATCCACACATGCTGGGTTGTCTGTCACACGCTCTGGTGGAACGATCCAGAGATGGTTCTGCTGTTTCTCCTGCTGTAGTCTCATTCCTTCATCAGACGTCTGTGCAGTGTGTTTTTTTTGGGGGGGGGGGGGGGGATAAAAACAGAAATCCTATTAAAACGATTTTCCTGTGACGTGTCACGACGCGACCTGAGGTCAATGCAGCATTAGAGTGGCGCTGTGTTGCGTGGTACCTAGCATGGTGGAAGTTCCCGGCTCCCTTGCTCTCTTTAGCCCTGGATGGTGAAAACATGCCTGATTACCCCGAGGAATGGAATTAGAGGGCTTGAGCTCTGACCATTTACAGAAGCAATTAAACATGAGCCCTGTATCTGTGTTGCTGGAGCTCCTGGGAGCATGAACTTGGGCCATATCCTGTGGCTGGCTGGCTGCCTCCAATAAAGCCTAATCTGAAAGCAGGCTAATTAAAGGGGAGTTGCCCCGTCTACATCCAGAGCATTTGAAACAATCTGATGTATTTACTGTTTACTATGTTCCAATTAAAGCCCCCACACAGCCCAGTTTGTTCCCATCACAGCCTCTTTGTTCTTCGCCACACTCGGCATGGCTTCTGAAAATGATTTTCCTGAGCTGCGTCTAATTTGCTGTAACTCCTGTGCCTTTTTAATGCCATGTGAGAACTTTAAAGCCTCAGCATACCATCAGAGGTGGAGGGTTACGCTGTGTGCCGGAAGCAGGCGATGGCATCTGCTCCACTTTCACACCTTGCCTGCTTGCTTTAGTGATGTGTCGGTCGTGAACGAACCGGCTCCAAGAGCTGGCTCGTCATTGGGAGCCGTAAACCCCCCCCCCCCCCTCCAACTACAGGTCAACATGTGTAACTGCGTGTCCAGACTGTCCAAACACAGAGCAGCAGGGGTGGGGAAGAGGGAGGCTCAGACTCAGACACACAACAGAGCACATGCGGGCGGTGGGAGACGGGAGGGAATGAGGAGGAGAGTGCGACTTACCCCAAAATTCCACTATCTCCGTTCCGTCCCCGCTGCCGCTTGCTTCCGAACTCAATTTTTACTGGTACCCGCTCTACAGCGGCTCCGCTCCGGTGCGGAGACCTGAGGTGCGCAAACAGGCATGCGCGGGATTTTCGAGATCTTGCGATACAGTCCGAGCAATAAACGCGGAAGTTAGATCCAAACACCCGTTGTGTGGGAGAAGCATCGGCATGAACTGTTTAATCTGCCCATCATTTGTGTTGAGAGATCAGCAGTGTTTGGATCAACAAAGGGTGACTACTTTGATAGTAGAAACTGTATTTATGGCTTATTTTTGTGCATTTAAAGTTCAGCCGCCATTGATAGTTGTTAAAAGTTGTTAAACCTGTGCATATGAAACAAAAAATGCTTTTTGTTTATCAATTTATTGTGAAATAACGGAAGCTGTGCTTGCTCCCTTTCCTGTTGGGCGGTTGTGGTTTCTGTCCATTGAATGCGGAGGTGCTCCGGCGTCCGGCAAAAATAAAATCCATCCTATTTTTGCCGGATGGCGGAACGGTGGGTGGCGCACTGCGCCGCACGGCCGCAGTAGTGGAACAGCTCTGATTGACTACAATGGAACCGATTTTGCTGCAGAGTTCGTGCCGGAGCGGAGCGGAGATCGCTTAATTTTGGGGTTAGACGGTGAGAAAATGAGCGCCAGCAGTCGGAAAGTTGAGATTTCTTAAATTGTTCAGTTAATAAATCCATAGAAATGATAAATATTTGATATATTGCATTTTTTACATTAGCAAATCATTTTACGTATAGTTTAGTATTATTTTTGGTGATAAATGTACTCTACGCAACAGAAAATCGGAGCCGAAAGAGCCGGCTCTTTTTGGTGAGCTGAGCCAAAAGAGCCGGAATTCCCATCACTAGCTTGCATGGCTGCCATCAAACTTGCACTTTAATGCGCTTTAGTTATTTCCAAACGTCCCACTTGTCATGGTCGGCGCTGATACCACATCAATTATTTATTCCACGTCTGATCAAGGAGCGTCACGCAAATTCATTAACGTATGCAAATGATCACAATTACAATTATCTTTGTATCGTGATGGTGAAGAAATAAAACCTCGGCACACTCCTGAGTCCCACCGCACCACAAGTTACACTTTGCATTCAAACTAATCAAGCCTCATCTGCCTTCTGCTAATTAGCCAGAACGTTTTCAGATGCCAATTAGCAGGTCTCATGAAAAAGCTCTTTGCCACGAGGCGTTGTCTTTTATCAGAGCTTCTGCAGGTGTGTGGATCACCATGCTGCCTGTGTCGTAGAAAAGTGTTTATTCCTGCTAATTAATCATATTAACACATGCAGATGAGTGTAATTGCCTAAGATACTCCACCTCACACTGTGTGAAGACACAAGAAGATGCCAGACTATTTTTTTATGATGGAGGACCAGCAGAGCTTCCTGCTGTAACACAGGTCCAAGATGTCTGAGAGTACAGCTGAGGGTCCTGGTGAGAACGTCCAGTCTGCTTTGTGTCAGCAAATGTTAATGAAGATGAAAAGGGCCCCAGAACTCCCCCACCCACCCAGCTGTTATCACTATTTTAAAATTACATAATGCCAAAAGCTTGTTACTTTGGGGCTTATTAGCTATATGTGTCTTCCTGCTAGCTGGTTAGCTCATGCTAAGCTCAAAGCTCTGTGCTAATTTGGCATCAGTAGCCAAACGAAACTACATGCATGTGGAAATTCTGATCTTTAACTTGATGAGAGATCACTTAAACACAGATCATTTAAACCTGCAAACCACAACCTGCCGACACAATCAGGAAGTAAGTGCTAACACGTTCCAGTCAGTCATTTCTGGAAAGACCAGGAGACATTCAGAGGTTTGGAAGATGCAACGATCTAAGAGCATAATCCCTACGGGCTCCCCTCTCAGGGTTTAGCAGCAGTTCTAATCTCGAAGTGTTACTCACATAGATGGTTTCCTCAACAGCCTCTGTTCAGATAAATAGAGTTCACCTCTTTATGGCTGATTAGCTGATTAGCTAACAGTTGAAGTGCAGCCAGGGCCAGAGCGGTGTTTCTGTTTCCTTAAAGCTTCAATCAACAGTTTACCAACGACTAAGTACCTGACTTTATACACACACACATTAGGGGTTGCATGATAAATTTTTTCTTAAAGTCGACCGTCAAGTAATGAAAATCGAGTCGACTTCGACTAATTGTTGATGACGTCATTCACCTGATTGCGCCCACATTTTCTAAGTTAAACACATTTCTTTCAACAACGATAGTTTCTGCATCTTGCTTCAGCCCCCTCCCTCGGCCGCAAACTCACTGATGCGCCTGCAGCCTCTCAGACTTCCTGCTGCTCTAAACATTAAAATAATTATTTCATTTTCTGTTCCTCACTTCTGATTACCTTCAGTGGTGTCTGTTTGTTGCAACCAGCAGGTACAAAAACTAACTTGTTTTTATTTGACTATTTTTCTGTCCTGTCTGTTTATTATCTTCCTGCATCTCCTCTCAATCCTAAAGAAAAACTGCTACCTGGGTTCATATATATTCACCTTATGAGTTACCTTTGAACTGCAGTTCTAAAACATCTACCGACCGCAAAAACAGCGGAGTGCTCGCCGGCCGCACCGGTGAGGGGCGTCACCGGAGGACAAAACAGGTGATGCGCTCCGCTCCACAGCAGCGAAACGCATCAGACACAAATAAAAGAATAAAAGGCAGAATACATAAAAGAAAATGAGCCGACATGAGCGATCGCGTGTTAAATTAGTTTTTGAGGTGGCGACACCTGATTTGATAATGTTGCTGTGGCCGTGCTCAGGACGCAGATGTCTGGAGCGTGTCAACGATCAGAGCTTTGCATGCACAAGCTGGTTAAGGTTAGGATGGGGGTGAGGGGAAGGTTAAATTGCAAGAGGGTAAAGGTCACAATTTGGTTAAATGTCCATTTTACGGCGGGTGTCAGTACCGACGCTCTGGCACAGCGCGTTGCCTCCCTACGCGCATGAGCTTGTCACCTGCTGTCTTTTCCAGGACTGCATCTTGTCGGCCATTAGCACATGACAGCGACTAGTCGATGACAGGCATAAAAAGTCACTACAGAGCAGTGAAGTCGACTAGTTGATACAACCCCTAATATACATACATCACACATCTTTACATCACTCATTATTCCAATGTAACATCCTGGTCGAGTCCAGCAGGAAGGTACTAATGCCGTGACGATATCAGATGAAGTGCATGACACTTTGATTTAGCCCGTGTTTTGACTAGCTTCAGCTGAAAGTAGCCATTAGCCTGGGCTAGATGTTGGTTCATCAATTCTGAAGGATTGAAACAAATGTTCTCCTAGCAGAGTCACTCAGGAAGCTGTGTACAACAGGTAGGATATGAATAATTCATGTCTTTGAGTCAGAAACACTTTGGAAGGGATAAAAGTCTTTAAGAGTTAGCTAGCTACAGTTGTAAATGCTGTTGCATGTTTTTGTGCTTCTGGGTCAGGCTGGCGAAGTTTGACTTTGTGTGTGTGATGAGTTTTGGTGCCTATCGGCAGAAATGTGAGAGTAATGTTGGAAGGCTACAGAGAGACACGAATTAGCTAGCTGTTATTGAATTGACTGTGGTAAAACTGCCATCTGCTTGTCACTGGTTTCAGATTCCAAGCATGTAATCTCGATGGTTGTGTGCTCAAAGATGTTAGCTGTGCCCACAACCCTTCAGAAGCTGTTCAAGCTGCTGCAGCTATTTATGGTAGCTTCCCATCCCAAAGCACCATCTGACTGTGTCGAACCAGCTACAGCAACTTTCAGCTCGCACCTAATTTGTCATAACTGTGGTGTGCTAAATGTTCTGATTATTTCAGAATGGAGCTGCGGGCTCCAGGGCTGCTGGAACATGAGACAGTACTCCAGCATGAAGGACGTGAGGCTTGTTGCAGCCATAATTCTCAGATCTCAACAGCACGATGACAAAGAGAGCGACTTTACAACTCCACGCATCATTCAGGAATGTCAGGAAGGGGAGAGGGAGAAAACTTCTCCTGGCCAATCGGAACGCTTTGAATAATTAAAGTGATCGGCTTAATTAGCTCAATTACGTTAATTTGACCACGGAACATGGCCATATGGTGAAAGGAAACAAAAGAGGGGGGAACTAATTAAAAGTAAAATAATGAGGATTTTAATTAACTGGCTCCCCAGACAGCAGAGCGCAGGGATCAGGAGCCTGCTACCGTAATTAAAGTGCTGTAACGCTGGCAACATCTCTCCTCTCTTTCTTATATCTGTGAGGGCTCTATCCATCTAATTAAATCTGTAAATAAATTAGCAACATCGAGGGTTCCTGCTTGACTTAACACTGCCTGCAATCCACCCGCCCCCCCACCTTCCCAATAACACGCTCACCTTACTCTCAGCACAACGCCTTCCATATGTAAGCATAAGCTGAATACGGTCTATCATTATCAAAGGAAGGGTAGTGTGTGTGTGTGTGTGTGTGTGTGTGTGTTACGCTGCCATGCTGGTGCTTCCTTTCATGATCATCTGTCTG